GTTCCTCCTGCCCTTCTTGTATCCAGTTAGCACCTTTCAAGGCTTTTCCATTAAGCCTTGTCTTGCCTGCTCTTGGCCCGAGTCTCCCTTCTCAAAACTTGGAATATGGCTTTGGAGTCCAGCAGAGTGGAGTTCAGATCCTGGCGAGGTCATTTACTAGTCAACTGAGACTTTGGGCCGTTTCTCAGCCTTGTTGAGACTTCTTCGTGTAGAGCAGGAACCATGATCATCAGAGTTAAATCACATGGTGCATTCAGAGTACCCAACAGCACGCCCGATGCATGGGAGCACCTTGAAGGTTAGTTTCCAAATGATTACAGGTAGACGTCTGCTTGTCTATTTAATGTATGTTAGATTTCCCCTAAGATGTCTGCGGGCAGACGTCGTGCCATCTTGTTGAGTACGTAGCTCTCTGCGTACAGTGCTTCTCATTTATAAGGACTTGATTGTAGGAGGGAAATTAACAAATTGAAGTTGTCTGGAGGAGGGCAAGTGCAAGGAAGAGGGGGGCTGGAAACCCTGTCACTTGGGGCACGGGGTGGTTTTTCTTGGGAGAGAGAAGGGAGGAGGGAGAAAGCAGATGAGGGAAAGGAGAATGAAGACACCTATCCAGCGTCTTCCAGTGTCTGTAGCGCCTTTGATTTAAAGGAGCAGTGCTGCTGATTTACAGTTGAGAGGGCAGAACAGAGGGACTGCACGTGCCAGCAGCGTGAGGGAGAGCTCGCAGGAGAACGATCGGGTGTGAAACGGGCTGCCTCAAAAGGCGGCGGTCCTCGTCCTTGGAACCATCCACACGGAAGCAGATCATGTGTGAGAGAAGTTGGAGTGGGGACTCCTGCATCATCAAGGGGGTGGAACTCGATGGTGCTAATACTAAGAGCCTGCCTCTCCTTCGGTATTTGCGGGTCATCTGCCATGTACCTTTGCGCTAGCTGCTAAAGATACAGAGATACAGGACATCTGTCCTCACAGAGAAGCTAATAGTCTGGTGGGGAAGATTTTGTAGGTCTGCACATGTATAAAAATAAAACCACGGTGGTCAGATGCATCTGCGTTTCGAACCCAGAACTTTTGGTGACCTTTGTGACCATGGGTAATTGACTTCACCTTGGAACGCCATAGTTTATTTATTATTTTTTTTAATTTATTTTTTTTTCAACGTTTATTTATTTTTGGGACAGAGAGAGACAGAGCATGAATGGGGGAGGGGCAGAGAGAGAGGGAGACACAGAATCGGAAACAGGCTCCAGGCTCCGAGCCATCAGCCCAGAGCCTGACGCGGGGCTCGAACTCCCGGACCGCGAGATCGTGACCTGGCTGAAGTCGGACGCTTAACCGACTGCACCACCCAGGCGCCCCTGAACGCCATAGTTTCTTTACCTGTAAAATGGAGAGACTGGTACTCACTTTATAGCCTCATCATGAGGATTAAATGAGACCAGCATGGCCAACACCTTTTAGGCACTTAATTAGCAATTGTTAATACTGTTATTTTTACTGTACCCATGCTTAGAGAAATCTGTATTAATGGGTGCTGTATTATAATGTTAATGGAGCTGTGTCCTAAGGCAGAGGGGGGACCCAGAGGAGGGATTGTTTCTGCCTGTGAAGGGGGTTGAAGTGAAAGGGTGTTTAAGAGATACTGAAGGCCAAGGATTGTAAACAGAGGGAGAAGGCGTTGCAAAGGCAAAGAAGTTGGGTACATCCTGGAATATTCTGAAAACTGGGGATGTTATGAGGAATGCAGTACAATTGTATGTGACTCAGAAGAGACACTCACTGAAAGTTTGAAGAGTTAGGCAGGGCCATGTTGCCATGCTGGTGTGCATTTCACGCTAAGGAGTTTGGCTCCTGTATCTCAGCTGCGGGAAGTTCTGGAAAGTTCTTTGGAGGAACATACAATCACTTTGTGTTTTGTCTCGTGTTTTTTTTAAGTGGCTTAATTATTTCTCAGTTATTACAAGCTTATTATAACAGAAATTCAAATAATACAGAAGCATGAATCTAAAACAGAAAAAGTACCCTTTAGTCCATTCTAGATAAAACCCCTGCTTGAAATGTAGCCTCCTGTGTATGTACAGGTATGCAGATCTGAACTGATAGGTATGGTTGTACATTTAAAAAAACATGTTTTAATGTTTATTTATTTTTGAAAGAGAGAGACAGAGTGCAAGCAGGAAAGGGGCAGAGAGACAGGGAGACACGGAATCCGAAGCAGGCTCCAGGCTCTGAGCTGTCAGCACAGAGCCTGACACGGGGCTCGAACTCAACGAATCGCGAGATCGTGACCAGAGTTGAAGTCGGATGCTTAACCGACTAGCCACCCAGGCGGCCCTATCGTACATTTTATGGAAATAGGATCATCACA